AGGAAAGGACTAACTTGTTGGCGGCGGTTATCGTGTTGGAGAGGAAGACGAAAGAATCGAAAGAAATTAGATCTCTCAGGTACGATTCAACACTTCCGGCTTTACGTTTTCACCTCTACCTTCTTCTCCTTTTTGCTACTCATTCTCTACTTCTTTTTCTTGCGTTCTTCATGCACTAATTTTGCGTTGTTGCTGCGTTCTATTGTAGATTCGTGATGTTGTTTCTGAAGTAATGAACAAAGATGTTGCGATGATGATGACACTTGCAGATTCCGAAAGCGGAGATGAAAATTGAAGGTTCTGCCCCCATGCTACAGAGATGAAGATTGCAAGAGGAAGTAGAGAGAATTGAGAGAGATTTCTTAGATAGGGTTCCGAGAAGAATGGTGAGTGTTTTTCTCTAATTTTTCTGTGACTTTTTCTGGTGTGTCTGAATTGTGAACTCCCTCCTCACTTTTCTGTTATCTGTTAGGAAGTTGGTTAGAAACAGTTAAGGGTTATGGAATCTGTTAGAAGTTAGCTTTGACATCAATTTTCCCCTTTCGATTTTCCCGGCCACACCACCGCCGTCATCGCCGCTTCATCCACCGACGACAGCGGCATCCCGTCTCAAGATCTCGCAGTTCTCCTCGAAGTCGACGGGTGAATTTTCGCTTTTCTTCGTTATTAACAATCTCGTTTCAGTTTCACTCTGCTCAACTTGTTTGAACTGTTGTGGTTGTTAATTGTTTTATTTATTTATTTATTTGTTTTTTAGGGTTCTTGTGGATGCATACCGTGGGAATCGCATAGCCTTCAATAAAGGTATCAACAGTTCGACTGTGCTCACTGTCACTGCTCATCTATAATTCCATATTCTCCTTGTGTTATTCTGTTTTCATGGAGTGTAACGAACTGTTGTTTTTCGATTTTGATTTCGATGTTGTGCTTGCAGCATTTGAGAAACTTGGACTTGATTGTGCGAGCTGGAGCGAACCTGTCTATTCAGATCTTTTAAGGTGTTTTTTTGGTTATTTGTTGTTATATTATTTTCTTGCCTGTGCATATGTTCTAATGGAAAAGGTGATGATGATACACTTAGATTTCATGAGTTCTTGTAATCAATGCATTGAATTTCAATGAAGTCTCAGTTTGGTAGGGACTGTAGTTGATAATACTGTGAATTTGAATTATAAGACTTCACTGCTACATTCCCTGCTACATCATTCAAGAATGGCATGTAAGTATTATCTACTTAATTTTTGTTTCATTACATTCCCTGCTACATCATTCAATTTGTTGGTTGGATTATCATGAAAATTTAGTGACGTGAAATCTCATGCATACAATAGATTTTGAAAAGACCAAATGGTATTCTCTTTAGCATGTACATCATTGATGAAAAGAAAATGAAGAAAGCAATTGAGTTGAAGCATTATGTACTCAAAACGAATAAAATATAGCTTATTTATCCGCCCAATCAAGCTAGAGGGAACAAACTGACCTAGTTTGCTTTTGCTAAATCATCAAAACTACCATGTTTGACTTATATTACACACATTCTAGCATTCCATACATGTCTTCTTGGTTCTTCAGTTTCTGATTTATGTATGATTTATTGCTTGTCCAGATCACTTTTCTGAATGCGTAGAGAATCATGCATTTGAAACTTCTGACAAATTTATCAAGGAACAAGGAGGTAATTTCAATATTCTTTCTTTTCTTCTCTGTATTTTTAAGATTTTAATTATACATGTTAACAGTTTATAGCTTTGGTTTATGTTTTCATAATTAAGTGTGGTCCAGTAAACCATCAGATTATACTTAATAATGCTCATGAATCATGGTTTTTGGTATGAAATCAGCTGTCGGTGAGCTGTTAGCTGAGTATAGCTTGAAAATTGACAAGCCAAGATTATTCAAGCTGTGTAGAAAATTGGTTTTTTGTTTTGTTTTGTTTTAAACTAGTTCTTTTTTGGCATTCTTTTGTCAAATTCATCTTTCATTATGTACTGTTCTTGTCCTACATTATTCAATAGCTAACATGATTTGGTAAATTTTTTATAGAGGAATTGAAAAAAATGCCGGCTCCTGAGGTAGCTGTGAATTATTATATGGGAGATGACTTGTATCTATTTGGTAAGCTCTTCATTATTTTGACCTAAATTTGTTTACTTGAGGCAAAAAAACCGACATTTCACACTTTCAATATCATTTTTTTCAGATGAATTTCAAACTTCCAGAGTTCCAAATACTAGAAGGCCTAAGATAGGTATAACATATGAAATTGCTCCATTGATATGACTTTTTTTAAAGCAGTAAAATTTCTCACATTGGTTATTTCTATTTCCCCTCTAGAGAATCTGTACGACGTATTTTTAAATATCCGAGATGATGAAGCTGAACATTGCAAGACAATGAGGGCTTGTCAAACTGATGGGAACCTCAGGTCGCCTCATTCATATGCAGAGGACGATGATGAATCAGTCGGTACTCTTGAAGCAGGCTGTGAAGGAATTGTTGACTAATATTCACATTGGTGACAAATATATTAATATCAATTGTTGTTCATTTCTAGGTATTTGTATGACAAGTTTATTAGTCCAAATGGATTAATAAATAAGTTCTCTTTCATATCTCCACATGTATCACGGGAGGATAATCTAGGAAATGGTATAGCAAAAATACTTTTGAAAGATGAGGAGTTCAAGGATAAGATGATATATATGCAATGAGTAGTTCAAGGATAAGATGAGGAGTTCATTGGTAATTTAAAATGTTATTTGGTATTTGATGGATCATAATATATATGCAATGAGTAACTTAAAGCGTTATTTGTGTTGAATTGAATATAGTTATTTTATATTTACACCAAAAAAAATGGTTGTGTAAGAAAAAATATTGTACTGTACTTATTAAAAATATTGTACCAAATATGTACCATTTATTAGCACTTTATTTGAAAGCGCTATCAAATATATGTTATATATTAGCGCTTTTTGTTTAGAGTGCTATAAAAAAACAAACAAAAAACATGCAAAATACTGACTTTGATAGCACTTTAATTAAAACACTATTATAAATTGGTACTTTAATAGCGCTTTTAAAGTGCTATTAAATAAGAAATATTTACAATAGTGGCGCGGTTAATAGCACTTTTAAGCGCTATCAAAAACAAAAAAAAAAAGCGTTATTAAATAGCTTATTTGGCGTAGTGTCTTGAGTATTTGAATAGTTTGAGAACATTTTGTTTTGGACTTTGACAAGGTTGTAGATGTTTGAAATCCTCTCATTTTGAAGGAGTGCATCTTCCTTTTGTTGGAGCTGCATTCTCTCCAAAAGAGCAATCACACTGGCATTGTTTTCTTGAGCTGTCGGGACATCCTCGTCCATATTTGCTTCATTTTCTTCTTCCTCAGACTCTTCTTCTTCTTCATTAGCATCCTCTTAACCATCACTATTTTGGAACGAAACAGATGTACTTCTCACAACAAAACGGTATTTTTGTTCCTCGTGATCCCATTGGAAGCCCATCAAGGTAAGTGATTTTTTTGTGAATTCAAGATCAGAGATCATACCAACATAAGGAATTCCTGCAATTTTAATATTTTCTCGATTGAGAACTCTTTGAATGAAAGAGGGATAACATAGTGCGGTGCTTCTTCCAGAGTTATGCAGATCAAACATGCGGCTAGCAAAATAGTGTGGCCAATGAACCTTTATTTTATGTTTTAAAACATACAGCAGTTGAACCTCAGGTTTATCCACACGAGAAAGACCATCCTTCTTGGGTCGAATGATATGGCAAACGATCCAAAATAGAATTCAGTCAAATGGGGCTAGGGCACCAGTTGTTACGGATCTTGGAAATAAATCACTGTTAACTATTATGTCACTGTATGGTTTCTTCAGCATGGAGTTTAAGGCCGACTTGAATTCATAATTGGGAGCAAGAACAACATCAGAGATTTTAATAGCATCAGAATCAACTGGCCACATACCAAATAGGTCTTTCCAAACATGCGAGCTAACCATATAATATTTGTTGTTCATTCTATATTTAAATTAAAAACTCTCAAACTTTCCTTGCATGCCAGCATAGAACATTTTGACTAAATCCTCATTATACGGTGTATCACATTCAGGAAATAAGTGGAAGTTCTGAAATCTTAATAATTCAATAATTTCAGGAAGATGCATATGACTCAAGATTTTCAGATATAAAGTCGATTATCTAACTATGTTTCTCTTACCAAAAGTGTCGGCAAAAGTACAAGCAATGTCATCAGAAATAAGTGAGAGAGCAGTTACCAGATTATCCGACGGAACATTGGAGAAGCTTCCTCTCAAGGTTCTCTTCTTAGCTACCCTTGAATCTATTAGGAAAATTTCTTTAAAAAGATGGGTATGTGAGGTATGATTGGTTTTGAGAGGTTTTAGGGTTTTGTGATAAGAAAGTGAATAAAAAAAAACAAAATAACTGATAATCAAAGTAAAAAAAAATTTGTATTTTTTCAATTTTGTGACTTCAAACATTTTTTAGATGTACAAACCTAACATGTACGCATAAAGATATATGACAACCTGATAATCAAAGTGTTAATTTTTAAAATGGACAGAAAATGTTTATCACTTTCTTACACTTTGCATTCATAAAATTCTTTTTTGTCGAATCACTGTCAGATTCAAAAAGAGTATGCATGAATTCTGCTAAATTTGTGTTAATTTGATCTCCTAATTTTTTTTGAAACTACAAGTATCGCCCAAAAATTTTAAATAAAATTTAATTTCTTAGGTAGTTCGACCAGCACACTAAATATGAGAATAGAACCATACAAGTTAAGAATTAGGAATAATATTTACTTAACAATTGCATGATTGTGAATTATATAACATCATCCATGTACATGATAAAACATGCTAATTCATGAACTCAACAATAAATAAACACACAAAAATTTAAAAAATAAAAATAAATTAACTTATACTTTGTGGTTTAAAATCTGGAGTTACATCTAGTATTAAAAACAAGGTGATATCAAACTCTCAACACAAACTTGTAAAGTGTGTTGAAACATAACAGCATTCCTAAAAGCAGCATTCTTAAAAGTACCATTCTTTGAATCGTAAAGGATATACTTCTTTTTCTCATGAACATGATAACTAAACTCCAGCAGCACATTATCATCTTCAAAAATATATAATACCTTTGTCGAGATAGAAGTCTTGATTGGATCTTGCATGTAAGAAAGGTTGAACAATTTACTCCAAGACTCTTTAATTCCATATTCCTTCATGACCCAAACATCGTGATCATAAATTATGCACAAACAATCCCTCAACACAGACAATGTCAATGTCAAATTAAACACATTTATCTCTCCAGGAAGAAAAACCTTTTGATAAGACTCCTTATCCAAATCAAAAGAAACAATAAAGAGTGGGTCACTATGATGCCCTCTAAGAAATGCTAACCAATTAATTGTGCCACTTACATGTTTTCCAGATCGCTGAGTGAAAACAATATCAGAAGGGAACATCGTAATGCTTTTCCAATAATTAGTACCTAAAGTATGAACTTTTACTTTAGTTGTGTATTCAGGAATACCATTGATATAGAAATGGTAAACAACCACCACTTTGTAATTATGAGAAACATGATCATAGCCGAATCCACATGTCATATTAAGCTGACTATTTACTTGGGGTTATCAAAAGGGGACAATTGCTTGAATTTTCTAATGGAAGGATTATACAATACAATTAAAGGTTTATAATAGTTGGCAAGACAAAGGATTCCGTCACAACAGCCAACAATGTCATGTATATTGTATCCAAAAACATTGTTGGATGAAAACTCATGTTGAGTGATTTTAGTGGCTATGTCTTTGAAAATGGATTGAATTGAAAAAGACTTGAGAATAAAACGGGATGAGGGAGTATGGTAGCTTAAACATTGGAGGCTGCTACGTGTGGTTGATCCGTTAAGGTGCTTTCTGGTGAATTTATGATCAAATATTAGAGAATTCCATAACTTGCAGACACATCGGAATTGGAGAAGGCACTTCACAGGTAGCTTAGAGAGTATTTCTGAAATGAGATCAAAAGGAAGAGTGGGAAGGGAATCTGAGATGTTAGGGTTTGCTCTCTGAATGTGAGATGCCATCCTATCTTAGGGCTGGAATTAAGCGTAACCAAAGCAATAATATATACTGCTGACTGCCGTTATTCCAAATTTCCATAACTATTTCATTTAATGTGAAATCATTAGCAATAACTGCTAATGCAAATTCTGATGTCGTTTCTGGTCTCATTGGCAAAAATCTATTCTAACCTAAATATATTTTTATTATTAATATATTTTATATTTTATTTTGAATTCATTCATAAATGTGATAATTTATTTGATATTATGTAATTAACTTAAATTAGTTTTAAAGATAATAGAATTTATTGTCACAAATTGTAACTAACTTATAAAAATATATTTAATAAGAGTTTAATAACTTATAAATATCGGTCTGATTTGATTGAATACATAATTAGTTGAATAATATTGTAAATCATTTTGTATTGATAGGACATCCCCTATTTATTTTACTCATAATAAATATAAAAAATTACTTGTTAGCCCTTTAAATTAGAAATAGAAATTTAAATAACACTCATTCATATAAAACAGAAATCAAATATTATTATTAATAATTCAACTATATATAATTAAAAATAGATCAATAAATACTTTTATAATTCAATTTTTTGAAATTGTATTCCGTAAAAATGTAAAATAATGAACAAATCTCAAAATTAAATGAGATATTAATTAATAAAATAAAGTGTACTAAGGTGCCACAATTATTTTAAAATATTCATATTTTGCTCTAAGATCTTAAAGTATAATTTTTTTTTTAAAATTATTGAAGGGAGGGACGAAGCCTAGAAAAAGAGAACGACAAAAGAATTACTGGGGAATAAAATTCGCAATAAAATCATTAGCAAGAATTGATGAAGGAAAGAAAGGCACTCCTCACAAGTATAATTTCAAAACAAATAGATGAATCTGGGGTTGTTAATTTTTTTATAACATTTTTTATTAATTAAATAAATATAAACTATTTTTATTTATAAGCAAAATGTTCCGTTTAAAATGCATTGTTATTATTACTCTTGAAGAAATTGTACAACAATTTATTCCGGCACAAATTTAAGAATATTCCATGTAAAATAGTAAGAAAATCTAAGTTTTAATTGACACCAAATATTTCAATTATTTAGGGGGGGGGGGGGGGGGGGGGGGGGGGGAATTTAAGCTCTTAAATAAAATATAATATTCAAATCTATATAATATTTTTTTCTTTAAATTGCCAATTTATATGTATTATTTGATGACACAATATATTATAGAGAATATAAAATAACTAAGTGACACAAAGATTAAAAAATATCAGTACTAAAGTATTTTGAACCAAAATTTAAAAGTTTAATTTTAACAAGAATATAGCAATCTCAATATTATTAATTATTTAAGTAAGATTTTGAATTTTTTAACATTTCTATTAATTAAATAAATACTCTCCCTATCCTACTTAGAAACAAAATATTTCATGATTTAAAATTTATTAATATTAATATTTTAATATAAATTGAAATTCTGGTATTCAAATCAAAGATTTCTAAAAGAGGTCGAGACACCTTCTATTAAACTTGTCCACAATGAACAATATAAGTGATAACTAAAATGCAGAAAATTAAAGAACACATAGAATTGTTTACTCAGTTCGGTGACTCACACCTACTCTAAGAGTTACCAAGTCAGGCACAAAGTTAATCTGATAGTATCAATTCATAGACCCACAATAAACTTTCATGTAATTTACCATCTATTCACTTAACCATTGTCCGTTCTTAATGATCGTCTAAACTTTACGTATTGGAAAGATCGGATATGCGAACCAATTTGATGAAAATGTTGAGAATAGAATCACAACTAAAATTGAATATGATGAATTGCTTTAGCAAGTTTAACAAGTTGTAAGTTATAACCAATTAGTTGCGGAATAGATAAAGCAAATTTGTGAGTTGTAAATTCACCAAACACTTGGTGTACGTAGTACACAAGGTTTGGTTATACTCAAATTGTAGTGATTATAGCGATTCAAATGAATGCTATGAGTTGTAAATTTTAGTTTGTCACTACAATTATTTTGTATAAATGAGAAAAGTTGATAACTCACTAATTCAAACAAATAGAAATAAAATAAAGAAAACTAAAATGGACACAATATTTGTTAAGGCAGTTCACCCTGTCATCCTCGCATCGGCTACTCTGCCCCCAATTCTAGATTCTAGAATTAAGATTATGAAATTAATTTTACAAAGTTTGTAAGAGAAGATACAATCACCACAATTCAAAGTCACTTGATGAATCTTATATGTTGCACTCCTCTTCCCTTGATTCTAGATGAATCAAGTATGCCAAATCATGAAAAAAATCTCCTTCTACCTTGAATGATTTTGAATCCTAGAAATTGGCCTCAAATCCTTCTTCACAATCCTCCAATTACCGCTACCCGATTGAACACCCCAAGGTCTTCCAATCCCTTAGCTCTGCTGAATTCAATGAAGCAAAGATTTGTGATAAAAACCCACAATTTTGGAGGACAAAACCCCAACGGTTTTATTCAAGAAAAAACCCACAAAGATCTCTACTCAAATCTGAAATTGCACTTTCAATTCGGACGTTATCAACACAATCCAAACAACTTGATCAACAAAAATGATTGTGTGTAGTTGTTGATGGTTGATGAGAGGTTGAAGATGAAGAGAGCTTTTGTGTCTATCTTTCACTTTTTCTTGTTTTTTCTTTTTTTCAGAAAATAGAGGCCAAACAATATATATATATATATAAGAGATTCCCTTGATGTAACAACATAGCAGAAAAAATGAGACAATTTGGCGATGCGTCGGCTCATGCAGGGTGTACAGAAGGCATGCGGCTTCCCGAGCGAGAGAGGTTGAAATTCATTTAGTCATGCGCCAACTCATTGCCTGATGCGCCGACTCATGTTTTCCCAAAACTATGATTCGATGCATAGAGAAGGCGTGTGCCTTCCCGGATGTTGCCAAGCCAAAATCTTCTTCTCATGAGCAGACCTAAGGTTCCATGAGCCGGCTCATGCAGTCTGTTTTGAGAAAAATGCTTGTTTTTTATGTTTCAAACTTGCACCTTATGATACGGTGGCGGAACCGACTGTTATACTGGTTTGTGTTTTTTATTCGCAAATGTCGCGGTAAGCAAGAGTCGCCACCGACTTTTCTTTTATCCAACAAAGGAAAGGGTGAAAAGAACAAAAAACGACCTTTTTCGAGTGTTTCTGAGTAAGGGGGTAGATTATAGAAAGGGAAGGTGTTAACACCCTTTCTATCCGTGGTTTTCCACGAGCTCTTAGGTACTTGCTCATTTTGAAATTGCTTGTGTGTGTTTTGTAAAAAGTTTTGTTTAACTTCGTGATAACCCTTGTATTTGTCCTTAAGAGTGTGACGAAGTGGTTTTTAAAAATTGTTTCGAAAGTGTTTGTGTAAAAGAGTTTATTTGTTTTTGAGCAAGTACTTGAGATTTTCTACCTACTCGAAAAAAGATTGTTCGTTCTCGTTTCCTTTAGATAGCGATATCCTACTATTATGAAGTAGGTAGTCCTATCGTTGGAGTTTTAAGGGACATTCGAAGGGACAAAATGATCACTGAAGGCAACAAGTAAGGATGCGTTAGCATTTCGAAGGGACTATCATCATAAGATCATTTCTCGTAGGCAACTCGAGGGACAATGATCTTTATGACGACTTTGAATTGCGGGTCATTGCTAAGATATCCCTATGTTCGAGGGACATGACCATCGTTTCCGAGGCAACCAAGTGAGGTATACCCTAAGGGTGCAAGTGTGCAGGAGTGTTTGTTTTCAGATATTTATCTTGTAATGATTTTTTTTTTGGGAATAACCATGTATTAAAAAAAATTTTCACAAAATGAGATGGCGCATGCACTTTAAAAGTGAGAGGAGGCGCCATCTCACTTGGCTCCTAGGGCAAAATGCTGTTTTTATAAATAATTCGTCCGTTTCTCCATCATTTCTCGCAATGTTCTCTTATTTTTTACTCTGTTATTTGCGTCATGACATCGCCCAGGATTTTTACCAGAGATGGTTACGTTATTTTCTCCGCCACAAAACCTCTGATGAAAATGAAATTCTGGCACATTCACTCCATGGAGCGTCTGAAGAGGAAGTTGATGTGATGGCTAGAGGGAGACATCGTGGAGGGGGAAAAATTAGAAGGATCCAGCAAAGACGAACAATAACCTCACTTGCGACAGGAAGACCTAATTTTTGGTTGGAGGAAGTCAAAACAGACAGAGAAGTAATGTTGATGATGCATGGGTCAGATGAAATTGTTTTAACGGTTATAATTTCATAGATGGTTTATCGTGTTTTTTTTCTTGTTCGTGCAATGTTTATTGTAACAAATACTGTTAACGAAAAACCCTAATGTTTACAACATAATAAAGGAAAGATGTTTTGTAATACAATTTTTATGTGGTTGAGGCAGTAGCCCGATTCAGACAATTTTTGCGATTGTATCCGACCTGACGACATAAACAACACTTTCTTTCCAGCTTGTCAAGGGAGTCCATTTCGGTTGTGATGCGCTTACTTTTGGGACGACCCTTTTTATTCCTTCGCATTTGGTCATTGTGCCATACTATTTCGTCGTCGTATGCAGGACAATAATCTGGTTTTGCTACCAAAGGGAAGTTGTAGTTGTAAACGTTGAGCAACGTTTTAGATTTGTAACCCCACCCACCACCAACACGACCAAACTTTGAGGGTATGAGTAACCGACTGTACCAAAGTGGATCTTCTAGATATGGAGATCTGACTGATTTCATAGATCCGGAACGCATTGACTTCGTTGGGCCATCGACCCTGCCACAGTAGGAAACACGACGAAACCCAGCACGGGAAAGGCGAGGACCGGGATGTGGAACCGGGGGTCATTACCGGGTTCTGGGGGACCACTGATTAAACTGTTTTTTTTTATGTAATAGTTATGTGTGTAATCATATTTTGTAAATAAAAAGTTAGTTTTGTTAATCCTATATTGAATACGTAA